ATAACTGTGGAAGTGCATCTAGAACACTAAGTTGAGAGCGCGCAATAAGCTAATATGCGATATGCAATAAGCTTGAAATGCGGAGAAGAAGAAGAATCTCACCATAGTTTGGGTTTGGAGAGACTTGCTTCTGGTGAGTTTGGTTAGCTTGATATTCCGTGCTGCAATATTAACCGCAGTTGTTTGCTTTTTGATTTTTGTCTTCGAAAATCAAGCGTGATCTTGTTCTTTGGTGGGATTTGATTTTTTAATATTCTATAACTCATTGTAGCACGGAAACTAGTCCGATAGCTGTTGGCTCTCCTTACTGTTGAACATGTTTTGCTCCGTTTTTTCGACTTTTGTGAAGTTGTAATTAGATTTCGATTGTGCTCCCGGTCCAGAAATTTGTGGTATCGCGAGTGATAGTTTATTTATGCATTGTATGATTTTATGAGCGGTCGCTTCGTGTTCGTGTCAAGGAGATGCAAGTTGCCACTTCCACTTGGAGCAATTGACAATATTAGACCAGAGGATTGATCCCCGTAAGGCGGGTCTATGAGCGGAACTACTACACAAAACGTGACAGAGCTGCTTGCAAAGGATCCACTTGGACTGATTTGGAATCTAAACTTGGAATTTAAACTTAATTTCTATGAATCCGTAGCATTTGGAATCATTTGATTCGGATGAGACTTAACTTTTATTTGTTTACATTATATTCCAATCAGTAAATGCATCCTACTAAATACGTGAAATCTACAAAACAGGAATTGCTTTGATGATGGAAGTGTATATGCAATACCAATATACATTTTATATCGGTACTACGTGAATGCGGGGCTTGTTGTAAGTGAAAGTAGCCTCGGAATGGACGTGAGTGACCAGGCATTCTGAAATGGTTTACTGAATCTCAACAGAGCTATCACCTTTCAACTTCCGGGCTAAAATTGTTTGCAATGGGATCAATATAAGATTATATTGCAAACATTTTTCTTCCATAAAAAAACACTGCCGGACAGTGGAAGTTGGATTGTATTTACATACATATACATACATTCGCCTATTGATTTCTTTGGGACAGTTAAGAATCTCCTTTCAACAACTTGGTCAGCCAATTGATCAGAAAACGAGCCATCCAACAGAAAGATGTTCCAATAATGAATGGGGAGAAGAGCCCGCCCTTTATCCACGAAATGGTTGCAACAGGGAGTTGACACACGTCCCGATTTATTTATATTTAGTAATAATCAGATAATCAGAAGCATAACGTCTACAAAAATATGCGAGTCGATTGAAATCTGCCGAAAATAAATCAGAGGTAGGTTGATTCTTAACAAAGAAGGTACATAGGTGAAGAATAAGAGAAAGGAGGGTAAAAGGTGTTGACATGCAGAATTAGAAGTAGACGAGATTAAATGCGCCTGTTTCCAATCCTGGATTTAACTTTAATACCCCGATTTCGGAGTATTACAGAAAATCCCAGATTTTCAAAAAACACTCAGCCAAGAAAAACCTGCTCTCACACACACAGTTACACAAGCAACGAATGTCTCACGGCCACTGCGAATAACCCAGAAAGAGAGTCACTTCTAATCAGTAGTATGGGAAATTTAAGAAAACTGCAGGTACTCAGCGCTGAGTTCCTGCAGTTTTTAGAAATTTCTCATACAATTGAGTAGAAGTGACTCTCGTTCGGGATTATTCTCAGTGGCCGTGCATGTTTATATTATTTATTCGATGCGCAGCATTCAAGCAGTTGTTGAAATCTGACACAGATTCGCCTTGTGATTATGAAAATAAATTCGATGAAGCTATAACATTGCAAACGTGTTTCACGAGGATATCTTAAGAGAGAACTTTTAGCGGCGCCGGTGATGTAGTGGTAAGCGTGGCTACCTCTCACTCCAAAGGGCATTGGTTTAATACCAGTCGACGCTGCCGGGATTTTCTGAGGCATAACATCTCTGATCACGCCTTCCTTCGGGGGAGTAAAGTCGTTGTCCCCGATCCATGAGTTGATGGGTCGATAGGTAGGATGCAGATGTGGGAGCTGCCTCCCTGGCGTCGGTAGCATTGGTACTCAGTACGAAAAACAAGATCGACGGAAAACAAATCAAGGGGAAAAAGAGGTAACTTTAAGTACATTGACACCACAATTATGGATGATTAGCTAAAAACAAATATGGATCAGTCAGTCTAGCGTGTTAAGCGAATTGAGGTGATCCATAATTGTAGATGATCTACAATTGTGGGGTTAGTGTACATAGATTCAACATCAATACAATTTTGAGAGAAGTTCAGAGGGGAATTGTTGTGGACTTTTTAGCAGATCGATATGCACTTAAGGAAAATTTCAAGGAAAATTTAGGAAAGCTCCGGGAGGACTTAAGATAAGTTCCGGAAGCACTTTCTCTGACAGCTTTCGGAAAATTGTAAGGGAACTTCACATACATCCAGGAAAGATTCGAGAGAACTGCTGAAAAATTACAACAATTTCTGAGAAAACTGTTGAAAACTTCCCGGCATATCACAAGGAACTTCAAAGAAGTTTCCGTGGAACTGCCCACAAGTTCATTTCCAGCTTCCCAGAAGTTCACTTTCCTTGATTTGTTTTCCGTCGGTCTTGTTTTCCGTGCTGAGCACCAATGCTACCGACGCCAGGGAGGCAGCTCCCACACCTGGACCCTACCTATCGACCCATCAAGTCATGAACCGGGGACCAACGGCTTTACTTCCCTTACGAAGGAAGACGTGATCAGAGATGTTATGCCTCAGAACATCCCGGCGGCACCGACTGGGATTGAACCTTGGCCTGCTGGGAAGCTCAAAGGAATTCCGATGACAACGTCAGAGTACGACGAGAAATTTAGGGAACTTCCGAGGAGTTTAGAGAACATCCGACTAGAATTCCGAGAAATTCCGAGAAGAAGTGAACTTGTTGGAAGTTCCGTGAAATTTCGTTAACGAGAACTTCTGATAAGAAATCCAGAGAAGTTCAAAAAAAGTCTGACGGGAAGCTCAATTGAATTCTGAGGACAATTTCAGAGAACTTCCGACGAGAAATTAAGGGAACTTCCGAGGAGTTTAGAGAATATCCGAAAATAAATCCGAGAAATTCCGAGAAGAGGGTCAGAGACCTTTCGACGTGAAGTTCAGAAAACTTCCGATGAGAAATTCTGAGAATTTCCAACGAGACGTGTTCAGAAAACCACTGACAAAAAGTTCAGAGAACTTCCGACAAGAAGTTTCCAGAACTTCAGAAGAGAAGTTCAGCGAAATTCTGAGGAGAGGTTCAGAGAGCTTCTGGCGAGAAATTCTAAGAACTTCCGAAAAGAAATTTAGAAAATTTCCAACGAAAATGTAAAAGAATTTCCAAGGAGAAGTTCAGAGTTCTTCCGAGAGAAAGTTCAGAGAACTCTCAGAGCACACAGTTCGAAAAAGTAGTGTAAATTTCTGTTCAATACGGTGCACATAAATAGAGCCTCACATATCATATAAGTTTACATTATAAATCGTGTAAAGTTCTAAAATATTTCATGAATTGTTGCAAATATTGTTTACAAAAACCCATTTTTGTAAACAACATTGCTTACAAGTTGCTCCTTTGCGTGAAATGTTTACATCACAATTAAAATTCAGAATTTTTGGCTGTGAACATCTAGTCGGAAGTTCTTTGAACCTCTCGTTGGAAATTCTTTGAACTTTTCGTCGGAACATGTCGGAAGTTCCGCGAACTGCTCGGAAATTTCCTGATGTGCAGAAAACTTTCGAGGAGAAGTTCAGAGAACTTCCGACTATAAATTAAAAGAACTTTCGACTAGAAGTTCAGCGAACTTCAGAGACCGAAGAGATGTTCAGAGATATTCTGACGAGAAATTCAGGGAAGTTCCGACTAGAAGTTTGGAGAATTTCCTACGAAAAGTTCAGAGAACTTGTGAGGATAGGTCCAAGAAGTTCAAATAAGTTACGACTAGAAATTCAGATGACTTCGGACAAGAAGTTCAGAGAACTAACAAAAACATCTCATAACGTTTCAATATCCAAGACATTCATACCAAATATTCTTTATAATAACTGTCTTGCCGGAAAGTCCTAAAAATACTGTTGTTTTCCCGGAAATTTGAGACTTTCTCGTATGTCTTACAATAAATCTGAAATCTCAGAGATTTCAGTTCCCGTTTCTAGGGTGGTTTTAAAATTTCAGAAAGTTGTCCAACATGTCTACATCTACATCTAATCCGACAAAACACTTACATTCTGAGAACCTCCCGGAGGAGTAGTTACTCGTATTTCTAATGCAAACGATTGTCTGATTGGAGGGACACTGTCTGAAGGAAAACGAGCAGAAGCTAAAAATATCTGCCCGGCGCGCGGTGCGTTATGGCCAACTCCACGATACCGGACCGACCGACCAACCGGCCAAACAGCACACATGTATTTTGCTCTTCATTCTGCCACATTTTCTCATTCATTGCGGGACGACGACGACGACGACAGTTCTCGTATATATTGCAGTTTTATTTTTAAAATAGCTCTTCTTTCCCGAAGAGTCAAGATTTTTTATTTGTTAAAATTTCCTCCGAAAATTTGACGGAATGTCCCTCGCTCTCTCGCGTGCGCATCACGCTCAATCGATGGAACCGTCTAAAACCGTCTCCGGATGGAAAAGCCAGATGCAACAGTTACTGCCGGGAGCTTGGAGCTGGCGTTTCAACCGTTCCAAAACAATCCACTGAATTCTCGTTGGAAACAAGTGGCGGTACCATGGGGAAGATTTATTACTTGAAAAATATTGTTCTCATCTCTCGGTGGCGGTCGTCATCAGCCAGCCAAGCACCATGGTCTGTCGTGAGATGATGAAAATCTCTGTCCGCGTAGAGCTGAAGAGCTCCAATCTATTTTTGTACGCCTACAAGATTAGCCAATGTGGCATCCCTCGCGCTGTACGCGGTGCGGTACCAAATCCACCCAATCCGACGAGGATCTCAGCTAAGATTCGTTCTAGTACTACTACCTACCTTTTCCTTTGCCCTTCCGGCGTGCTTCTGGACGGACTTGGCCAGCAACAATCCTTTATTTTCGGCCATCGTGCGATACTGTTGCAGGTTGGAGATAATCTTGGGTGGCTTCCGCTTGTTAACACTCGACTTCCGACGACTACTGAGACACACACTCACACTGGCACTGACACTGAGATCCGGTTTCTGTTATTGGACCAGAATTTCTGAATCAGAACAAAAAAAAAAACTTAACACTCCCGTCACGAAAAATGCACGGAACAGCCAACCAGTAGCAGCAGCAGCATTCGAGGCCAACTCTCACTCAAACTTCACTCCCGAAAATTTCACTGACCGCTAGCGCACTACAGCAGAGCAGAGGCGCAAAAGAATAAAACACACACTCGCTCGCTCTTACTAGCCTGTCGCCGCCAGGGAAAATATATAATTCGGAAAGAAAATCTTAAAGGAAAACTGCCCCCGGTCTTCCTCTTTTTGTGTCACACACGCACTCGCGCGTTTTCCCTCGCGGTTTTTCCTCAAGAAGCACTCTGCGCGAAAAACTCCAACACACCAACTTTTCCTTCTGTTGTTTTGCTTTTTCTTCGGACGACGGACGACTCGCACGGTCCCGATTAGTAGAGCTGTCAAAATATGGGTGGAAAAAAAAACACAAACACCGAGCTTCGACAGACGAATATTCTCTCTTGTTGTTGTCCGACACCAACTCGCGACGACGATCACTGACGACTGACGGAGCGAGCCGCGGCCAAGTACGACGCAACACGACGGCTAGGTCGGTTTCATCGAAGACGTCGCATATCAAGATGGTTGACTCTGACTGCTATGCAGCTTCCTCGTATCTAATGAAAAATCTTCAATCAAGCTCCGAGTGATTTTGATAGCACCTTGATGACACCTAAACCCTTTTTGAGAATAGCATCTTTGTTTTATATGATCGAAATTTTGGATCGTATACAACAACTACTAGTCTTCATGATATGCAGTCTTTGGTTTCGCGGGACGAACGGGTGGTTGTTTTGTTGCTTTTCCGGTCGTGTTTCGTGTAGGTCGGATAGAGAAAGAAGCACAGATAAAGAGTGAGAACGAATGAATGCAGCTAGCAGGTTGCATCAGTTGCATAACAAACATTCAATTCCATTCAAACGGTGGATCAAAAACCGGTGGGTCGTACGACGCAAGTTTTGGTTCAAATTGACTGTTGATCTGTCCTATGATCGGGTCGTAATATGTGGTGGAAACTAACGATTTTAAATTGGCTCACTACTTGACTAGCCTATTGGCCCAAAGCAAATCGATTACCGTTCTCCATTCTAGTACTATACACTCAAAAAATAAATCACATTTCCAATGGAAAATATCCATTAGAATTTCACTTAACTTTCATGTGATCTCATAATTGGGAATCGCATCACAAAATCACATGAACCTTATGTGTCCAATGAAGTTTATGTGATTTGTCGTATACAATTCATGTGATCGTATGAACGTTATTTGAATTTCAGATAAAAATCATTAATTTTGTTATTGGAAAAATATCATGTGCGTTTCCAATGGAAACTATATGAAAACTTTTTTCAGTGTACTATTTTTGTTCTGATTCACGCTAACTTGAAAGTACTCATTAATGAGTAAAAAAAGACCCATTTTGAAGAAAAGTGGCTTAACTCATTAATGATTAAACAATTTTACCCATTAATGAGTATCTGTTACCCACGAGCCCAGACCAGCAGTACACTTATAGTTCTAAATACGAAATGTAGGTTCTAGAGTGGGTGGAGGCGAACCAGCCTAAGGCTGAAAGCCTCCTAAATAAAGCTAAATAATAATAATAATAATTCTAGAGTGGACTCAAGAAAAAGAGGCAGTTAATTAGACCCCATTAGTACCCTTAATTAAAATAATGCTGCAAATCACACAAAATAAACTAAAGAAGTCTATTCATCATCCTCCATAGTCGGTGTCTAACAATGCTCCCCACCGGTTCCAACTCTTTCCGGCCGCTGATAGACCGATGCATTTCCCATAGTGGCGTTTCGTTAACCTCAATCTACCTGTGCACCAACTCTTAAAACATAAACAATTATCAAAATATTGCTTGCAATGGCTAGATATCGAGTAAACTAGAAGATTAAGTGTATTTTTCAACTGATTCGAGTATATATAGGTATGGCATTAAATCTGGTTTTGAAAGTTGGCGCACAGGTAAAAAGTGAGATTACGGGACGCCACTGATTTCACATCACTACAGGCTAGGTTTGCCTAGTGTCTAGTTTGCTAGTCTGCCTTTGAGGGCATTATAAAACACTAAAACACAGGAAGTTTATTACCCTATGAACACAAAACACTAAAATTTCCCACACCCGCCACTTCCCTTGTCACCCTCTATCCTTGCGATTTCAAATCAAAACATTCAAGGTGTCAGAAATACCGGGTTACCGGGATGGGTATTTTACAAACAGCTTGCTCTATAACCTGCACAATCGGCACACCTGTGGTACCCCTTGAGTAAACACTACAAGATGTCCGATTAGATAACTTTTTTACTGTTTTCACAACACGAAATATGCTCCAAATAGACGATTATCGTAACGAACTGCACTTTCCACTTTCCAAGCCTGATACCAACAATCAATACGAAACTAACGATTTTAAATTGGCTCACTACTTGACTAGCCTATTGGTCCCAAGCAAACGATGAACGTACCCCATTTTAGTCGAAATTCTAGTACTACACAATGTTTGTTTTGATTCGCTATGAAAGTTTGACAGATAAAATCAGGGGTTATTGGTTTTTCCTATGTTTCGAGGGGTGAATCGATTAGCTTGGGACCGAAGCTCGGACCGAAGAGAGTACCAGAGCTGAGCCAAAAAGTTGAGCTCGTTTCTTCGGGACCTTCTTCTTAGAGTTAACTCTATGCTGATACGCAGCTGAAAAGAAAACGGAAAAGTAATTTTTTAGGAATATTCCCAAAAGTAAATTTGACAGCTATAGGGAGGTTTCTTTTGCTAAATTTTTAGATCATAGCGAGGTGTCGTCAAATTTTAAAATCATCAACTCAAGAGCAAATTTTCATTACGTCGAAAGTAACAAAGGTAAACAAAGTCGAGCTTTCAGCGTCAATCGATTCTCCTGCTATTACACTATATACTGTCCGAATATAGGATCAAATCCCATTTTTAAATTTATTTACCAGTCAAATTGCTTTTTGACGTAATCACCTTACGATCAAAATAGTTTTCGATGTTACTTAAGTCACCCAATTTCTATGGAGATGCCGTTTGACTTAAGTAACAGCGCTGAGAAACCCGTGAAAAGTGTACGTTCGTCGTTTCGCTTTCTCATTATTAAAGTGAATAAATCGAACTGTTTGTTGCTAAGATGATTTCTGTGGTCCTAAAATGATGAATGGGCTGCACGTAAGGAGACGTAATTGATAATTCTCCCGAATATCCTGGTAAATACACTTTGACTTAAGTAACAATAGGGGCCACCAAACGACGTATAATAACCTTTGACTCAAAAACCAGTATTTTTAGCATGAAAGCTAGCGATTTGCATTTGTATGATTAAAACCCTGCTAAATATGTTAAACATTGCTATCACTATGAGATTATATGTGTTTACTTGGAAATAGGAATAACTTTTCGGTCATCAAAACAAAACTTTATTTTTCTCGGATTGGTGCGAATGTTACTTACGACATAATGAAAATTTGCTCTTGAACTATTAGTTTTTATGTACAAATTACATTACGGAATAATTGATCGGACCATTATTCCGCAAGGAAAGTGAAATTTCATTCAGAATATGCCACCTTCATGTCCATCATGATACTAATGTTATCGATCTTTCCTTGACCGATTTCTTTTGAACTGCGTACTGGGTCAAGAAATGCTAAGAAAAAGTAATTTCTTTAGGCTCTGAACCATTTGGTGGATTATTTTAACTTTTGGTTAAAATTTGACAGATGGAAAGTTATCGATTAACCCTGCTATCCGAGCGTGGTTATTTCTGACAGACAAGAAGTTAAATTTTGACGACCGTGGCTCGAAAACCGGTCGATCGACAGCACGGGGATTTTCGAACATAAGAAATAACTTTCGAAATGTCACTTTTAACTACGAGTTAAATTTAACTCGGCAAATGGTTCACAGCCTTAGCATTCTGTGTTCTATCCTGTAGCACGTAAAAACGTCATTACTTTTCAGCTGCGTACCAGCGAAGACTGGAAACTCTGCCAAAAATCAGGAGACAGTAACGGCAACGCCTCTTCTGAGCGAAAGTGGAACCTGTGTATGATGATGTGTGTTAATTCACGAGTGCATTCACACACATAGGTAGAAATAAATAGCTGTCAATTATTGGTTTTGTTATGATTGTCGTAAAAAGTGAAACTTTTCTTTCTTTGCTTTATGCTGAAATTGAACAGATGCGTAAGTAAATTTGTTTTGAAAATTAAAGCTATGGCAATGATGCCATTCACAATGATGGTGGGACCTTCCTTTTTTCCTAAGCCCTTTAGTGATGCATTTATGGGCATTCGTATGGTGCATTAGTAAAATGCATGCCCGTTCCACACGGCTTTGGCACCTGGCCACAGCGGGGGGAGTTGAGTTGTGACGATCGGCAACTTGGCACAGTACTCACTGACCATTTGAATGTCACTGGCGAATCTGACGCTGTTGTTATCATTCTCTGGAAGGGGTCGGTCGATTCCAAGAATTGTTAAAGCATACCAAGGATCACTATCTGGTGGTTTCATGTTCTGACAACATCTAAACTGAAAATATATTCTTTTTCAATACGTACGGATTGTAGTCCTTTAATCTTTCATGTTCACTTTCTCCAACATTAGATTCTGCTACGCCTTCCATTGGATCGTGATGTAGGTACCGGATCTTTCTTCTTTTTGAATCCTTGAATTTTCAGCAGCTTCCAAATGACGGTAGTTCACTCAACGGAGGGGGAAGCTGCCAAGGCACAGTAAACAATCAGGCCTATTCTGCGCGGCGTGTGAGGTGAGGTGATACGCTCTCACTTGTGAAGTGACAATTGTCACCTCGGGTGAGGTGACTCTCCGTGCAAATCAAACGAGTACCGTGTTATGATTATTCGTTTCGGTGACATTAGGTCACACACACAGTCACTGTTTATGGGCAGTCTCAATAACACTTGTGCTTCAAAGTTCCACCTGTAATTGACAGAGGCACTGTTATCAGTGACGTTTAGCATTTGTATTGGAGAAGGGAACAGTTGCCAGTCTTCTTGATTTGTAGTCTTCGGTGCCAGGCTACAACCGGTACAATTTTGCAAGTCTACAGAACGGGAAAAACGAAGAACGATAGCCCGTGTGATAAAAATTCATCAAATTCATAAAAACAGCGCAAAATCACGACTATGTGAATAACAACGATTGAAATCGATTTTGTTTGAAGATACCTCCCGGATCGCAATTTTGCATCATCAATTTGTCGAATCCTTCGCCAGGAAGGGCTTAGCTGGAAAACACTCGAGAGACTCCATACCATTCCATACTCTTGCAATCTGTGCAATTGAGGAAATCGTTTGATTAATTATTCCACAACTGATATTGGAAAATACCCACCTATCGATGAATGTACGCTGGTACAATAAACTTTTCCCCAGACTATTTATTCCGGAATGAAGTCGATAGGAAAACAGTGGAACAGAACAACAATTATTGACTACAATCTGACAAACACGTTAGTGGAAAATAATCAAAACAAATCAAGAAAAACGATCAAAGCATGCACGCCTGTGGGTGAGTTGAGGGATCGTGACTGATAAAATAATTTCAGCTCAGGAGTCTACTAAGGTGCAAAATGCGAAATACAACTGCTGCTTTGGTTTCCATTGTTCTGCTGATTTCCTTCGTCCTGGTTCCTACCGTCATGACATATATTCCCCTTCCGATTGAGGAAATGTAGCGAGGTGGGAATTTTCTTTTTTACATCTATGTATACCCCACGTACTCCTGTATACATATCGAAGCACAGTTGAACAGGAAATTTCTCCCGGATGACACGCTTCACTTGCCCATATTTCCCCAGCACTACCGGTAGCTCATGGTCAGGAACCTCTGGTGGTAAGTCATACAGACGCACATATTGAATGTATTCCTGAGCATACGACATACGTACGTAGTGGTTCATTCGGATCAATCACAGTGTTAACAGTTTGATTTTTCAATTACTTTTTTTTATTTAAACAAATACTTTCTGTTAATTATAAATTTTGCTTCTTGTTTTCTTCTTGATTCTTATTCTTATCGACTCCACTAATTCGGACTCGACATTTTTGGGTTGATTTTTTACTCATTTTTTCAATTTTTTTACTGTTTTTTTGTATCTCTCTGTTCTTGTTTTGTTGTGGAAATTTTCCTGTTTCGCTCTGCCACAAATGTGAGTGTATATATATAGCACTGATTTCTGGTCTGTATATAATTCCTTCAATTTTACACATCTGTTTGCTTGTTTTGGTTTTGTCGAAAGTTTGCAGAAACAATGTGAAACCCTGCCAAGCCAGATTCAGGTTGAAGTTTGTAAATTTACGGGGGACATAAGTTGGATAGTGAAAGACAAAAGGCAGGAATGAATGCTTACAGAAAAGTGATTGAATTGAACCAATGCTGTCCATGGAAGGCCGTTATCGTCGGAAGGAAGAGCAGAAGAAGAAAGTGTTAAATAACCTTATAAAATTCTTCTTACGAACAAGACACAATCACTTAATAAGTTAACATTCAACAAACAATGGTCAATAATACCTCTATTTTGTATTTTGCCTGTGTTTTCCTGCTAACAACTGCTGGGTTAGGTATGTTCTCTATTTCATTGATTGATTTTCCTGCTCTACTGAATGTATCTGTGAAACTTAACCCCCACCCACGGGGGAGGGTTTCCTCTGGTCTCCGTTGACTTCTTTGATTTTAGCTATTTTTGCTAAGAACGGCAAAGGAAGTTATGGAATTAAAAAAAAAAAGAAACTCGAAAGGTACTTCTCCATAAAGTTTGTCAAATTATATTTCTCCATCCCGGATTTCAATTGTTTGTTTAGAATAAAATTCTCTTTTGTGTTACGATCCTTGCCTGTCCCTACAAACTGTGCGGGTGCGTAAAAATCGCACCCGGACACAGGTGCGTTCCTGTATAAACTTAGCATTAGCCGGAGTATTTCTCCCTCTATTGTTTTGTGATTATTTTCTGTTTTTAAATCTTTGACTGTGTTCGTAAGTGCTCGGGATGTGTGTGTAAGTGTATCTGTGAGTTTGCAGGGCTGCTGTTGTCCACTTTTGCTACCGGTCGGGGTTTATTGTAAATTTGTGTTTGGGTTCATCTATACTTTTCTGCCTTGCGGAGAGTTTATAATATTTTGTATTCTTACAATCGAAACTTATCCTTACAATTACCGATAATTAAAGGGGGTGTTGTTGTTGGTTACCAAAACGGGAAACAGGCTTAACCGTCATTGCCGTCGAGTTTTCGCTTCTTTCCCCTGGCTTCCGACTCTTCTGCCTCAACTTCTGCTACTGAAAAAAAAGAAAAGCGTTCAAATTTGTCCGTTTTATATGTGCCATTGGTCGTCGGCACTCCAAATACCAAACGTACCTTCACTGTCTGATCCTGATTTTTCTCCCTCTCCCGCAGCTTCACCCTCACCCTCTCCCTCGCCCTCGCCATCATCTTCGTCCTCATCGGTGGGTACGTCAATGTCTTCATCGGCTTCACCGTCCTCCTCGCTCCAGTCTGAACCGTCCTCCTCTTCGAGGTTTACATTGTACACCTGTGGATTGGGATTGTTTTTAGCTGATTAGCTTTAGGAAAATTTGAAAAAAAAAAACAAAATTACTCCTGGACCCGATGGAGTAGAGGAAATGCCGGCTCTGTCAATACTTTTGCCTATTATAAACAAGCTTCACAAGAACAAGAACAAGAAGTTCACAAGAGACTGATGCCAGTGAGGACACGACTTGGACAGTTGCTTACTGATCTCGCTGACCAGCTGAAAAGTTGATTTGAGAACATCGAACAACTTCTTCAAGTTTCGACGTCCAACCAACCATCAGCATCTCGAAATGATCAGCGAAGCGTGCGGCGCATCACTCGCGTCAACTTTGAAGCTCCATCACTGCAGGGGATAGAAGCATCTATTCGAAGCATGAAATCCAACAAAGCTCCCGAGATCGATCCATATCAGCAGAGATGCTCAAAGCTGACCCCATATTATACGCACAAATGTTGCATCAACTATTCTGTAATATCTGGAACACCGCAACTTCTCAGACGACTGGATGAAGGGGGTCTCAGTGAAGATCCCTAGCCAAGTAACATTGCAAGTTTTATCGAGGTTTTAATGCATTCTACAAGTCTATATCATGGTCTACAGAGCCCTCATACAACCCAAAGTATTGTTACTTGGGTAGGAAGGGGGATCATGTTACTGTGTATTGTTCTCAAAGTTCTATTCAATGTTATCCTGAATCGGATAGAGGAGAAGATCGTCGCAAATTCACAGGGAATCATAAGTCTATTTCAAAATTTCCTATTAATTTTCTGAATGTCAGGAGATCTTCAAGCAATTTACAAAATTCTAAGAAATATTCAAGAGCTTTCCAATCCTGGGAAACTGGAACGCGCCGTAGAAAGCCTCATGGAAGCCCCCAATAACTCCGTCTCAGTCCTGCTGTCGAATGTGGAGAGGGGTTCTTCCAACTTACCATACTCACTATGGCGAGTATTCAATCAGACTCGATGATGGTCAGTTATTGCCTGATGTATCTGTGATTTTCAGCGAGAAAAGTCGTTCGATTCCTTGCCGTAATTAATTCTGATCTTGAAGAGTACCGACTAACTGTATCGGGTCGTTGCTACTATGTAATTGTCCTATGCGAAACATGGCTCGATTCTCGAAAGGTTTCCAGTAAAGTCTTCGGTCCTGCCTACGAGGTCTTTCGTTGCGATCGGAATCCTAACAACAGCCGTAAATCTACTGGTGGAGGTATCCTTGCACCTGGTCCGTGGCGGGTTTTAGGCAAAGGCCATTGAGAACGATTCATGGATCAATGTGGGGCAGGTTTGGACAGCCATCAATCTGGGTGATCGCACACCCAGGCTCTCTGTACATTCCACCTGATCGAGTCCGGGACAATGAACTCATCGATACTCACAGTCGGTCAGTTTCCACAGTTATCGAAAGTGCCACTCTAGTTTTCTCCCTTGATTTATTTTCCATCGATCTTGTTTTTCGTGCTGAGCACCAATGCTACCGACGCCAGGGAGGCAGCTTCCACACCTGGACCCTACCTATCGACCCATCAACTCATGAACCGGGGACCAACTGCTTTACTTCCCTTCCGAAGGAAGGCGTGATCAGAGATGTTATGCCACAGAACATCCCGGCGGCGCCGACTGGGATTGAACCCAGGCATGCTGGGGTGAGAGGTAATCACGCTTACCAAAACACCACCCGCGCGCTATGCCGCTCTAGTTGATGAGATATTGACTTCAATCTGTCGAATAGCGGATTTCTCTATCCAGATCCTGATAGCTCTACATTTCACACTGAAGCTATTAGTCTTCTCGACAACTACAGAGCAGCAACGCTTTCTCAAATTAACCATGTAGTTAATGAAAATAATCGTAGTTTGGACCTCTGCTTCGTGAGCACTCAGTACAAGTCTCCATTAATTTCCTCGGCTTCTTGTGCACTAACTAAGTCAGTTCCGCATCACCCTCCTCTAATTGATACACTGTTGAGGACAAACTGCGGTTTCTTATGACTTCCATAAAGCTGACCACCGTAGCATCATAGATGTATTGTCTAGCATGGAATGATTCTTGATGACGTTGAGGCTGCAGCGCAAACCTTTTCACATGTCTTGGCATATGTCATTGACAGAAACGTCCGGAAAAGAACTCACCACAAAGTTTCGCACCCTCCCTAGCAGACGAGAAAGCTACGTAGACTAAAGTCAATCAAAAGAGCAGCAGGCTGTGAGGCTGAATAACATGTTCCAGCGAGTCGTCGTCGTGAATGCATTTCAAGTTTCCAACGAGGCATCCAGCGCAAACTTAAGTTACTCCCGAAATCCTTTTGGAACTACGTCAACGAGCAACGCAGGAAGTCCAGCCTCCCATCGTCTATGGATTTAACGGTTGCCACCGCTCAGGATATATGCCGCCCTTTTTCCGACAAGTTTGTCAGTGTATTCACTAATGAGATACTAAGTGACGACCATGTTACCCTTGCAGCCATGAACGTTTCAGTTGCTGGGTGCAAGTGATGTTAACGCTGAGATGATTTACAAGGCCGCGACTCTGCTCAAGTCATCCTTCAATCCTGTACTTGATGGAGTTCCCATCTGGTTTCTGAAGAGACATATTGCTAGCTTATTAATTCCGCTTCCTGTTCCGCTTCTCTCTCTCCATCATGCGAGGAATTACATCTTTAAGTGCTGTTTCGAAGCAATTTGAGCTAGTGATTATGGAACCGTTGCTGTCCTATTGCAAGCAGTATTTAAGTGCTGATCAACATGGGTTTACTGCCGGCCGATCTTCAACCACCAATCTGCTGTGGCTCACATCGTATATTACCGAAGCAAGCCGGATCGAATTGAAACAGACGTTGTGTATTCTGATCTATCCACAGCATTCTTCGAGTTGAGCCATGCTATTGCAGGCTCGGTGTATGCGGTAATCTTCTGAGTTGGTTTCGATCGTATCTTACTGGTCGCCAACTAATGGTTGCCATAGGAGATTGCAGATCAGCTAGCTTCTCCGCCACATCAGGTATACCTCAGGGAAGTCACCTGGGACCTTTGATTTTTCTACTGTACTTCATTGAAGGTCCTCGGTCATCATATGCAGATGAATTTGAAAATCTTCCTACAAATCCGCTCTATTGCTGATTACCACTTTCTTCAACGTCAGTTGAATGCATTCGCTAGTTGATGCAATTTAAACGGAACGATAATGAACCCAGTCAAATGCTCCGCTCCGATAATATTTAGCTATGACCTGCTTGGCTCGACAATCGAACGCTTGAATCAGGTGAAAGATTTGGATCTGATCTCGGATTCGCAGCTATCATTTAAGCAACATGTCGATAAAGCTTCTAGAACTTTAGGGTTCATTTTCAGGATAGCTAAAAACTTCTACTGTCTTAAATCTCTCTATTGTTCGTTTGTTCGATCGACGCTTGAGTATTGTTCAGCAGTGTGGAATCTAAACTACAACAACGGTGCCGTGAGAATCGAATCTATTCAGCGTCGCTTTCTTCGTTTCGCGTAGATTGCCTTAGAATGATCCGTTTCGATTACCTCTCCGGACTAGAAGGGTCACAAGTAGAGCCTTAACCCCGTCGCCGATATCCTACAGGGCAGGACACATTGCAAGGCTATCCTGAGGCAAATCGACTTGAATGTTCAACCCCGACCGCTTCGTAACAACCGCTACGTCGCACAAATTATGCGTAAGTTGCGATTTGCGGACTACAGAGAGTGTTCAACAGAGTTGCATCTGTCTTATAGCGAATTTGTTTACTATTCATGTTGGAACCAGTTCCATCCCTTGTCCTGTTCCCACTTGTTTGGCTGCAAATTTCATTTCCGCTTGAAATCCTTCAGGTCAATAGTCCACCGTTTTTCTTCAGTATGTGCTTCACAATTGACCAGTATTCGTCAATTGGCCTTAGTTTTAGAGTATTGGTCGGATTCATCTCTTTGAGAACCACTGTGACACCATTTTCGCAGTACCACTGTTAGGTGGAATTTGAGTAGTGGCAGCTTGCCAAGACCGACCAGAATATGCAGTCCACCTCATGCTGCTCAAAAAAAAAGGCAGTTGTCTCTTCCGTTGACACTCCTCCTGGTAAATTTGCTGGTTTATGGTCCGAAATGGTAACGAAAGTTTCGCTTTTCAGCCCACAACTGCAGATCGCTTGCCCAGGCAAGGAACTTTTTGGGGAATTTCGACTTCTTTTTGATTTTACATTCTTCCGGTCAACCGATGTATAAAATTTCTGCCAAGAGCTTTATAGACCTGGATTTTTATTTAGAGCGTGCCGGATCGAATCGCAACGTGCTTGCTCTGGTGAAGCCGTGATGTAAACAAATGAACTTACTGACAACCAATGCCTACTGTGATTCTTTACACTCTTAGCTTGATTCAGTGACATTTTGAATTATTCAAAAAATGCCTTAATGGCAGCGTTTTCAATGTGTCCGAATTTTTTCGTGTTCAACTTTTACTGCTTTACTTGAACACCGAGTCAGCGAAACCGTTAAAATTTGCCAAGTTAACTGTCACCAACGTAATGAAAGTGTTCGGGGACCGATTGTCGACAGCCAAGAAGCCTGGATCGGGGGGAAATCGAAAACCGGAAGCCGCAGCGACGACAAAAAGAGTGACCTGCGGTTTCAAGTGAAACCCCAACCTCTTCGTCCGAGATATCACAAACGAGTGTCCGATCTACAATCCGTGCATCGAGCTGAAAAACGAGCCGGACTGTCGACGTATAAGAAGGTAGTGACTACAAATCGCGACGATAAACAAAACAAGACGGCCAACAGCCGATCCCGGAAGTTGTACACGACGATGTTGACGAAGTTCGATTGCGTGGTAATGGACGCCGAACCCTACGTCAAGGCAGACGTCAAACAGCTTCCTGGGCAGGAGTGTTTTATACGGCAACCGGAAGGGGAAAGGTGACAGAAATTGTCGAAGTTCGCTAAGAAATATCTGGTTTAGCAGGCTATCTGTACCTGTGGCTTGAAAACCGATATATTCATTGTAACCGGGACCATCAACCCGGAGATTTACGTGAACGAATGTCTGGAAAATGTCTGCTGCCTTTCCTGAAGCAACACGATAGTTCCGTGCTGTTTTGACCGGTTTTGGAGTGTGTTTGTGCAAACGTCTACAACCAGGGGCAAGACAGCTCCTAATCATGAGCAATTTCGGCACCTCGAGTAACTCACATTGCTCAGTGAGCAAGATCACTGTCACTTTCTTACTTTTTGCATCACAGCAACATTTGAAGGTGCACCTTCATGCGAAGCCAAAAAGCTGCTGTCAAACAAAACAACAATAAAAGAAAACATGTTTACAGAACTCAATAACTCAGCGAAACTCAGAGACACTTAATTCGATTGATTTGATTATCCTGCATCATCTCAGCTTAATAACCTTTGTTCAACCTTTACCAACTGTGAACGTGAACGGAACCTATTGCTGCCTAGCTGCCTTACACTTACAAAGGGTGAATACTTATCCGGCTTGATATGGTGGAAGAACTGGATCTGCCAGACCAAATATTGCCGTTTCAGGGAAAATAATTGAATGCAACTGACTGCCACAGCATGCTATTAAAGCTGATAATCTGACGCCAAATGCTAATTTTTCTCTGAATTCGCAATACTCGAAATCCGGCTAACTACGTACACCGCACGAACTACAATACTCGTCGAAGCAATCCCGTTCCCATGGTTTGGCAAACTGCCGCTGGATGAAACTGCGAACCGAGCTCTGAATTACCACTGTGCCGTTCTACTGACGGTGACACATCCATCCCTCCTCTGTTGGTGCTTCTGCTGTGCCTTCCGAATGATCGTGATACGGTCCCGTTTCTGCACAGTGATTTTGCTGCGGCCGTCGACGGCAGTCTCCTTTAAAGTAGAACATCACTACTTACGTGTGTTCTTCGGTTTCTCGTTGGCTAAGTCCATAGCGACCCAGGTGTAGAATTTGTTGTTCGTCTCCATCTGTTTTATGAACAGCGCTGACGATAAGTGATTGGTAGCGATCTTGTGAACTTGATTACGTCTCATGACGATCCTGTACTTGGTCTTAACATGGCCGTTGGAATGCAAAGAAAAAGTCGACGAAGATAATCTGTCAGCTTGATTTGTTCTTCGTCTTCCTGACCGGTTTTCATTTCGATTTCGTCTGGTTGATCGTTGATGGGTTTGAAGTCCGGACGAGGATCGCACTCACCGGAAACAATGGTAGCGGTTACTTCAACGTCCTCCTCCTCTTCGGCTTCGGAAATGACGGCGGCTGCTCTGGCTGAACATTCCGCGGGGGTAATGGTTGGTAGCGTTGCCGTCGGAGCTGGAATTAGGTGTTAATCGGTTGTTGCCCCACCGGGGAGATGTTTTCTATATCGGAAACTGTAGCGGCGGTTGGAATATTGCTCACCACGCTATATTTGATGTGCTGTGATGGAATCTTCATGCTGTAGCTAACGTGAAGGGGATCGGAGTTAGTTATTATCATTTTCAATGGGACTGCTGTTACGACTACTGGATCAATCGATACTGATGAGATCGTGGTGAAATTCCAGATGTTTACAATAATAGCTGTTAGGAGAGCTTGTTTGATCACCGATGATCCTTTTGAAGTAACAACTGGGACTTACTGCTGAGGAGGAAGAACAACTGCTGAAAGCTGGCTGGAACTGTAAGTTCTTGCTGGTAGTAAGCAAGCACCGGCACAGGTTGTTCCATAATATTCAAGCTATTCGAAAGCCTCAGGATACAGTTGGGCTTACTTTGTTTACAAACAAAACTGACGTCTAATATGAGAAGCATATTCTTAAGGGGAGTAAATCGATGAACGTCGATTAAATATTGAGGAATGGGGAGGAGGGGCATAGTGAGCATCCCGCAGTTTGACTCTGGATATCCAGCTGCATGAAACAAATCAACTGGTAGTAGGTTCAATATCATTATAATATTGATCCTACCACCAACCAATTTGTTCCGAACGGCCTAAAGTCCAAGCTGGTGCATGGGATGCTCACTATGCCCCTCTTACCCCTAAATTGAGTTACTCGCTGCAAAAAAGCAACTCGAAGTAAACCTGTCTCACCCCTAGCTCCACAGCGTGTGTCGGAGGACAAGAACCGTCCCAACACGCCAGAGCTTCGCCCAATCGACAAATATTCGGCCATCTTCAAGCGGAACCTGAAGAAGACCCAAAAAACTGTTGGAAGCGAGAAGCAGCTTAAGGCAAACTGGCGTTCTGCGGCGAACAAAGTGGACGAGCCACAGAATCTGATGGCAGGAGTTAAATGAAAGGCCCGGCAATTCGTATTCGGTCAACCGGAAGCTTAGCTGATTTTTTTTGGTAATTCTTTGCATTCTTGTTTGACCAAATTTGGCTTTTTGGCTCAGCTCTGGTACTCTATTCGGTCCCAAGCTAATCGATGTACCCCTCGAAACAATTCACGAGCCCCTTTTTTATCTGTGAAATTTTCATAGCGAATAAAAAAACATAGTGTAGTACTAGAATTTTGACTAGAATGGAGTACATTGATCGATTTGCTTGGGACCAATAGGCTAGTCAAGTAGTAAGCCAATTTAAAATCGTTAGTTTCCAACCGGTGGAAACTGACGATTTTAAATTGGCTCACTACTTGACTAGCCTATTGGTCCCAAGTACATCTATAAGCGTACCCCATTCTAGTCGAAATTCTAGTACTACACTTTGTTTCGAGGGGTGCATCGAATAGCTTGGGACCGAAGAGAGTACCAGAGCTGAGCCAAAAAGTTGAGCACGTTTCTTCAGGACCTTCTGGTCTTTGAGTTACTTCTATGGTAGCACCCTTTAATTATTTTTTGAGAATACTCTCTAAATGCAGAAGGATATACCAAACGATTTCTAAGGAATAAACCAAGGGAATTTTGAATAAAATTATGAAGAAATTTAGGTTAATTCTCACGAGAATCATTAACACTCCGAACACGATGCCTCCGGTAAAATGTGTAACGGCAAATTGGCAATGCTTGAAAAATCATTGCTCAGCAATTTATCGATAGCTTTTAAATCCATTGATATCTTCTGAATCTTTGAAGCCTGTAGCATCAAACGGCGCCAATAGATTTGAAATTCGTCATTAAATGGCTCTGCTTTGATTTTTCAAAGTGATTTGTCTGTCCATGTATTTGAACATTCCAAATGTGTGCATTTTTATAAGCTTTATTTTGACGTAGGTTTACGTCTTTCGGCAACATATTGGGGGTGCAATTTCTAAAAAACCAAAATGGACCGCGTTACGAAAAGTGGTCAGGTTTTAATCACTTATAACTCTGCCAATAGCGGATGGATTTTAATTCAAGCCAATCGATTGTAAATGTTTCTACGAATCTGCTAAAATGAACACTTTTTCAATTTTCAATAGGTCACTATTGAAAACTACACGAATGTGATCAAAATTATCACCGATTGTCTGCAAAAAAAAAAACGCTTTCCCTAACACAGATTTCAAAATCGAATTCCAACTGGTCTCGTCGAACGGTCACCGTGTGTAGTGATGTCCTGTCGGTCATCATTATCAGCAGCAGCAGTAGCAGCGCTTGTTTACACATCGAAAGACTACCCGCAAGCAGCGAGCTGCAGCCCACATGAGCGTCCATTCAACGAAGAAGGAGGAAGAAGCCGCAGCGCTACTGATCGGATTCAGTAGCTCTTCGTGAGTCGCTGTGGGCCATCTATGCCAAGCGCGCTACCCTCGTTCCAAACAACATACATATCGCCAGCCTCATCTGTGTTGAACACCCTAATAGCTCAGCAATACTCAACCATCACGGCAAAACGGGTCTTTTCAGGACCACCATAAATGATTGTTGTTTAAGAGTTAATTTTCATTGAACGTTCGTTCGCCTTGCTGCCAGCCACATCACCCCCAAAGCTCTTTGATAATGTACCCAGCAGCCAAACGTTTGTGGTCAAAAGCGTAACAGTATTGAAGTGGTACATAAAAATTCTCACAATGACCGAATACCACATGACCTTGTCAATTAACCAAGAAACACTTCGAATTAAGGTAAGGTTTTCTCCAGGACTCTAGAAAAAAGCAAACCTCGAATTTATATGATTGAACGCGAATGGAAAATTTAGCAAGAAATTCCTATCTATCGTTTCCTATCTATCAAGCGTTTCGTGCACGAAAATGCGTAATTTTGTCATCAGAAAACAAGGCGTTTCCGTGATGGGAAAAAAGTGGTTTCCTTAACACAGTCATCGAATATTGATACCGAGCACACTACGTCAAATCTACGGTCGTGCCTTGGATACAACATCTCACTTTTTTTTAAGAATCGGGTGACTTTAACGACTGAGCTAAGGGAGGCCCCAGGGAGGGTCTACCCTTTCCCTTGTGTAGTATTTCATAGACCATTGCTTGACAAACGAACCCCTTAAACTATCTACGTAGCTTATGGACAGCCCCTAAGATAAATCAACACAAGTTGGCATCATGATTCATGACCATTTACACAACACTTCTATAATTATTCTCAATGCAAGCGGATAAGTTTCCTGAAATACCACCGACATCACAATATATAGGTAGTACTCGCAACACATTTCACTGCTAAGTAGCTCCGAATCATACTTACATCAGCTAACGTAACATCGTTATCATCATCGTCATCGTCGTAGTCGGAGGACTCGTCCAGATCGGGATCGGGTAGTGATTCTGAAAAGGAAGAAAAGAAAAACAGACGGGAAGAGTACCACCATTAGAACTCAAACGAAGCAACCAAATGGGGGAAACTAACTCTCTATCAACTGCTGCCGGTTGACTTGCACGTAGCAGATCTGATTGATAAAGGCTAACAGCGAGAGAAAGGCCAACAGAAGTGATCCCAGCGACGTTGGAGTCACCCCGCCGCAGCTGGTGGTAGACTGATCTGATTGCACAAGTTGTTCTTGCTCGTTTCTCTTTCTCTGAATCTCCTCGTACAGCAGATCCAGATCGTCTTTGACAGTATCTTCTTGTTCTTCCACTTGTTTTAGATCTAGCTGTTCAAGTTTGGACTCAAGTCCGTTGACTTCACTCGACGGAGGAGGGGCTCGCTTCTGTTTCAGTCGCGATTCGAACCGTTCCAGTTCGTCCAGGTCGATATCGATGCCGTTGATGGAAAAACATGCCCTGTCATCTACAATGTTTCCGGACTCGTCTCAATGATTTTCGCAAAATGTCGCGAAGATTGCTATGCTATGGCGGGGGGTGATGTTCGAAAATGACAATGAGATGGGTTACTAACCTTCTTCCTCTTCTGCGCCGAAATCGGCTTCTTCCTCGTCTGAAGGTGCTTCGAGGTCTTCTTTGTCGAATCTTAAAATAGTAATCGAGAAAACAGATGACTATGATGCTGATTCAACAGCAGCTGCGGTGTATTCAGTACTCACCCATCCAAATACTTCAGCGAGGGGATCAGCTCGAAGATTTTCTCCCGATAGTTCTGGGTCATTGTGACCTCGTTGTTGAACAGATCGAGCACTTCCAGGTTCTCCAGATCCTTCAGCGGTTTAAGTTCTTCAAAATCTTTGATCCGGTTGCCGGACATGTTCAGATGTGTCAGCTTGGGGCTGCCGGTGAGGTGACTGAGTGCATTCGAGATCCGATTGTCCGACAGTTCCAGCTTGCGGAGGGCCGGCAGTTTGGGGAAATTCTTCAGTGAAACCAAACCCACGTTGATCAGGCTGAGCACTTCCAGTGCGGTGAAGCTGTCGGTAAGGCCTTCTACGTTGGTGCTGCGGCAGTTGTCCAGGATGAGTTCCTGGATCTGTTGGAGAAGGGGAGTGAGCATTGGATTAGCTTGAGGTGATGCAATGCCCCGAACGGCGGGGGAGAGGGGAACATAGTTTGGAAGATTCAGGAGCGAGTCGAGAGTGCGTAGTAGCACTGCCTATAATCGCATATCAGTCTCATATGGAAAAAGTAGGTATTTAGAAAATGGCAGTCGAAGCTACGAAGTGCAATTCCCATGTAAATATTTGGACAATCATAGAAAATTGACTGAAAATTTTTTTCAAGTTAAAATCAGTCTCAATGATGCTTGCATGTTTTGTTATATTAGCGAAATATATGGCAATTCAAAAAGCAGAACTGTAACTTGACCTCTGGAAGATTGAATTTCAGGATGGGACATGGTTTGCTTTGTTAGGTGGGACAAACTGACTTGATGTTGTTTACACATTTTTCAAGATCAAAGTCCGTACTTTTATCAAATAATACGAAAGTAGATAATCTGAAAGTGGATAGCGTTGTTATCTAAAAATTGACGAAAATCCATATGAGAATGATATGCGATTATAGGCACAGCAGCGAGTCGAGACTGCGTAGCAGCAGGGAGGTCTGGAGCTTTGACGAACACTGGGTTTCTCGGAAAAAGGTGTATAAAAGTGTTCGCTTTTAAAATCTACCGCTACTTGTTTTTTTTTTTTATCTGAAATTGCTGACACAATTCGACTTGTGTTGCTTACCTATATGTTAGTTGAGAATTCTGAATTGTGCCATGTTCAAACTAGGGAGTTGTACGAGTTGTGATGCAATGCATGACAATTGTTCTTGTACCGCGAAAACCGCCTAAAACACGTTACAACTCCCTAGTCATAACATGATAGATCCCCATTTAGGTACACAGTCAACAAATGCAAATAGTCTAGTCAACAAAATAGATTAATTTTTGAGCAACGGAATAAGCAATGAATCATACCTTAACTAAACCCACCAGACGTGAGCACTTTCCTTCACTGACGGTGGATGCATAATTGTCCCATGCGGTTCAGCGATTACGCAAAATGTTGTAGGGTAAGATGGGGTAAAATGCAACCCCGGAACAAGATGACTTTTTGCTAATTTTGAATACATTTTCAATATTCTTGGATTTATCATGCAGCATTGCCAGGCTTAAAAATTATCCGGATAGACCTATCCAGTGGATAGAAATAAACGGAGTCCTCATTTTTTTTATATTCGAATAGACTCCGAACAGTTAATGTTTAGAATAGGTATGTTTGATATAAAAAATTAAACCTGTGCGCCGCCGACGATTTTTATACGTTGCCGCCGCCGATGAAATTGAACCGGCGTGCCGCCGTAGTTAAATGGTTCACGCCGCCGAATAAATTTATGTCATGCCGATGAAAATTCCGTAACATCTTTTCGGCTAAATGCATCTTGAACGTGTTGAAATTAGAACATGTGTGCACGCTCGTTCGTGGCTACTAAAAATTGAGTGAATTTTTTTTTCAATTTATTTAAAACCAGATCTCCTCTAAATTGAGTAACATAGCCAGAACTGAATTTTGACAAACGGATAGGTATTTGTTGATGAGTTATTTTTACTTATTCCCATAACCTCAAATGAGCGTGTAAGAGACAGCAATTATTGTCACTTAGTATTTTGACGTTTGTTCGCGCTTTCTCTATGTAGCACACAGGGATGAATCGGATGAATCATTATTTTTCCTCCTGCTCGCACTTGTTCGAAATAGTTTTTTGGTGCGCTGATCAAACGTAAAAAATCTCAGTTTAGTGGTTTTGTCTTGATGAGCGAGATCTATAGGTGAGGCAGAAGGAAGCTGTCTCTTTCTTTCTCTCGATCCGACGAAAACACCGGATGAATGAAACAATGGACTAGAGTTTCCTCATACCCTAACAACGTTGAAGGTGAAGATACTCTATGCTTTTGGAAAATTAGAAAGCTGCAGATCGTTGCAGAAAATCCAACAAGGCTTCAGGGGTCGATCACGATATCAGCAGAGATGCTCAAAACTGACTCCATGCTATCCACTCAAATGTTGTATCAACTATTCTGGAATATCTGGGACACCGCGACTTTTCCGGATGCAGGGCGTCTTAGTGAAGGTCCCAAAGAAGGGGGATCTGACTGTGTGCGACAATTTCCGAGGCATCATGTTACTGTGTATTGTTCTCAAAGTTCTGTGCAAAGTTATCCTGAATCAGATACAGGAGAAGATCGACGCGACTCTCTGGAGGCAGCAGACAGGATTCTGTGCCGGAAGATCTTGTGTGGACCATATTGTCACGCTCCGCATCATCATGGAGCAGGTCAATGAATTCCAAGAGTCCCTTTATTTATAATTCATTGACTAAGCAAAAGCTTTCGACCGACTCAATCACGAGAATCTGTGGGGCGCTCTGAGACGCAAGAGAGTCCCGGATAAAATCGTCAACCTCATCGAAGCGCAGTATCAGGCTTTCTCGTGCAGGGTTCTGCATAACGGAGTCTGTCCGACCCTATCCTGGTGTGAGACATGGATGTATACTATCACCGCTACCGTTCCTCATCGTAATCGACGAGATCATGGTGGGTGCAATCGACCGTGTACCGAGCCGTGGGCTGCTTTGGCAGGCTATCATCATGAAGCATCCCAACGACTTCGATTTGGCTGATGATTTTGCTCTACTAGCACAACGGCGTTTTGATATGCAGAGTAAGCTCAATGACCTAGGCGAACGCTCCTCTGCGGCGGGTCTCACCATCAACGTCAACTAGACTAAATCGTTGGATGTCAACACGGGCAACCCTTCCAACTTTACGGTAGCGGGGCAAACAATGGAGAAGGTCGAAAATTTCCAATATTATAGCAGCCAAATAGCGTCGGAAGTTTTCCCCGGGAAAGTGTCAGAAAATTTTCTCATACTATGAGTGACCTACGTTTTAGCGATTTTGAGTAATCTGAACTCAAATGTGGGTAGCATTTTTGTCCATGTGCGATTGGTTTGGAAAGTATTTTTTTTCTAAATCATTAAAAATAAACTCACACCGCCCAACGCCGCCGAAAGCAAACGGCGTGACGCCGCCACGCCGCCGGCAGAAAACAAAACGCCACGCCACCGCCGTCGCCCAAAATATTTTGATCGGCGCACAGGTCTATCAAATATGTACCCATCAATATAGGTATTTTTGGAATCGGGATGACGCACCGGTGGTGTAGTGGTAAGCGTGATTGCCTCTCACCCCAAAAGGCCTGGGTTCAATCCTAGTCGGCACCGCCGGGATTTTCTGAGGCATAAAATATCTGATCACGCCGTAGGTAAAGCCGTTGGTCCCCCGGTCCACGAGTTGATGGGTCGTTAGGTAGGTTTCAGGTGTGGGAGCTGCCTTCCTGGAGGCAGAAGCATTGGTACTCAATCGGGATAACGTCTAGAGATCGGAAATCTATATCCGACACCATTTGAAATTCCAAGATGGCGGCTTTCGGTTTCAGAAAAGTGAGAAATACTGTCAAACAGCCATCAATATAGGTATTGTTGGAATCGAGATGACGTCTAGAGGCCGAAGCTCGATATCCGACGCCATTTTGAAATCCAAGATGGAAGTTCCAATTTCCGAAAAAGTCAAATCCCATCAATATGAGTATTTTGGAATCGGGAAGACGTCTAGAGAATAAAAATCGACACAATTTTTAAATCCAATATGGTTTAAGAAATACTGTCAAATACCCATCAATATGAGTATTTTGGGGATCGGGGTATCGTTTAGAGGCCGGAAATTGATATCCGATGCCATTTCGAAATCCAAGAACGTCGGCTTCCGGATTAAGAAAGTGTCAAATACCCTACAATCTGGCTATTTCCGGAACGGGGACGATATGTAGATGCCGAAAATCGAGGTCCCACGCCATATTGAAATCTAAGTATGGGTATATTGATATAGGCCGGAAATCGATGACTGACGTCATTTTGAAATCCAAAATGGTGGCTTCCGGTTTCCGAAAAAGTGTCAAATACTCAACAAATGGCATCGAATGTCGATTTTCGCCATCCACGCATCGCCTCTTTTCCGAAAATACCTACATTGTAGGGTACAGAATTCGTTCGATTTTGGCAACATGCCCGAAAATTTAGTGTTGCCATAATCAAACCGTGCCAAAATCGAACGGCTTTATTATGAAATTTAATTTTTGACTACCGCGTGTCATCTTTATTAATAATTAATATTTTATTTAAAACAGTAATCACAACTAGCAAAAATAAATTATTTTTTTTAAATCCGTTCGATTTTGGCACCGTGCCAAAAACGAACGGCTACTGTATTTTACACTTTTTCTGAGCCCGATGATCACCAGCTTGAATTACAAAATGGCGTCGGACATCGATTTTCAGCATTTACGCGTCGTCCCCTTTCCGAAAATACCCATATTGTAGGATATTTGATACTTTTTGCTGAAACCCGATAGCCGCCATCTTAGACTCCAAAATGGCGTCGGATAACGATTTTAGGCATCTACGCGTCGTCCCCGTTCTGAAAATACCCGTATTATATGGTATTTGACACTTTTTCGGGCTCCAGAATGGGCTCGTTAATTTACTATTCGTTTAATATAAAATAACAATTTATTACTACATATAATCCGAATGCCATCCCTACTGATACTATGCGGATATTATCCAGATAGAAAATTACTGGATATTGTCCCTATCCAGATAATTTTAAAACGGATACTATCTGGATAATTTTAACTCGGATATTATCCGTTTTAAAATTATCCGAATACGGATACGGATAATATCCAATGATCAGTGGCGTTTCCTTAACCTCAATCTACCTGTACACCAACTCTCAAACCATAAATAATTCTCAAAATATTACTTGCAATGGATAGATATCGAGTAAACTAGAAGATTCAGTGTATTTTTCAACCGATTCGAGTATGAATAAGTGAGATTACAGAGATAGAGATAATTTTGGTGTCTGGTAAAGTAACAGGTGGACCACTGAATTTAAGTAAGTTCTCTAACATAGTTTACGCA